GAAGCAGCTAGAAGCTGCCAGGGCGCTTTATGGAAATGCAAGTGAGAAAAAGCACAGAAAAGGATGGAATCACTTGCACGCGGGTCGGACACGGGTTCGCTTTCCCAGACTCCCTAACAGCCAGACATGACAACATGCACCCATGGGGCAGAGTCTGCCGTCGGTGGCTGAGTCTGTGGAGTTAAACATGTCAAAACAAGAAAAAAACAAGTGATAACAACAGTCTGCAGTTATCTTGAAGCTATCTGAGGTAAGAACTGCGAACTCCCCCCTGTGTCGCGTCTGGAAGTAACTTGTTGTATGTAATAGGAAAAAAATAAATCAGGGGGAATTAACATTACAGACTAGAGATCATTAATATAAGTAAAGAAGCCAAGAGGAAAAGAAAGGGAATAGAAAACATGAGAAAAGTTATCACTTCTTCTGTTCCTGTTTGTCTCCAAGTTGCCTCTTTGAGATGCTGTCCCAAAACACTCTGCACGGGACTAACCTGACATTAATAAAGCCATTAAGACAACGTTAGCACAGGCATTAACGATTAATGGGTTATTATCTTTCTACACGTTTTTTATTCTTTGCACACAAAAGATCTTAGGAGTCTTCATATTTCTGCCAGTGTGAATATCACTAACTGCAGCAGCGGTGAAGGTTATTAATCGCCTCAAGGAGTTTCAGCTCCTCCACTATCCCCTGGCTTGATTTTGTGGGGCAGAGATCAGAGACCGGGGACAGCGGAGACATGATGACCCAACTGGTCTAACTGGAGAGGTGGACGAGACGTCCATGGACGTCCCCCATGGCGCTGGGGACAGCGTTTTTGCCGGTATGCAAACTGTGCAGAGGCACGGGGGAGCGCTGGGGCAGCTCAGCTGAGGAGCTGTGAGAAGGGGGGGACCTCCCTGCAGACCCACGCCTGGGCGGTGTTTCCCGCGGGGCGGCCCCGCAGCGGCCGAGGGCTCTGCGAGACCCTCTGCTCTCCTCTGCCGCTCGCAGCCGCGGGGGCCCTGTGGCTCTGCGCGTAGATGAGGGTACAGGGGGAAAATATACAAGGGCACCTATATCTTCTACCTACATAGCTACAGGTATAACTAATCACTTCCATTTGCTAAAGGAGAAACACTTTCAAATTTCTTATTATTTGTTTCTTCTTTTCATGCCGCTGTGGTAGGTTTTTGATTAATGTGCTGGTCACTATCGAAGGTTTATGGGTTATTAGACAAAATTAAAATACACAGCTGCTAAAATGCAAAAGTGAAGCAAATGAAGAGTAAGCAAATAAACAAACCATGTGTGAACAGTGACCAGAAAAAAAAACACACACCAAAGTTTCAAAATATTTTCTAAATCATTGGAAATTTAAGAGCAATGTTGTGACACCAAGATCCCGCATGGCACTGGTCAGAAGGCTATTAACAAAATCTTAAAAAGCCAGGAAGCGCTTAGCTTGTAGCCCAGTACTTTGAGCACAGGGAGGACGGGTGGTGCAGCAGCAAACCAAGAAGGCCTTGCTAACTTAACACGAGGACAAATATCTACCAAAGCATGCACAATTTATTAAAGGAACATACACTTACGGCGTTATCCCCTAAAATGTCCAATTTTTTCATCAGCTCTGCTACTACTATGTCCTAACAAGAGAGAAATGGAAAACCAGGAGTCAGAACAGCGTCTGTATTTGGTTAGGGAAAGGAGAGTACAAAACGAGAATCCCTTACTGTTACACCTTCTGCCTCACAGTACACTTGCAGAGGGCTTTTCCCCTCTGTAAAAGGACCGTGATGGAAGTTGATGGCAGGCGATCGTCTTTCTCTTTCCTGAAATGACAATAATTGCTTGGTTACCCACTACGGTATGTCACAAATGGCAGCTTCACCGAGAACTTGATAAATACGGTTTGAAAACGGCTCACGCTAACTGAACACACTGCAAAGCAGTGTGGCTTTAGTTTGGGTGCGTAGAGCACAGAAGCCTTCCTCCCGCAGCCTGTAGCTACTGACACCAACAGCCAGGAGCCAGAGCCATTTCCCTGGCCAGACCATGTGCTTTTGTGAGGGTACTCGGGGCTGACAGGGAAGACCTCCACCGGGCTGCAAAGCAGGGCAGACGTACATATTAACAGCGCTAATATTTTCCCACCATACTTCTTCACTGGGCACTGATCATGACCACTTACCTATTATTTTGACTACATATTTGAACAAAACTATACACTCATAGCTAGTATATTATCAGTAGCATTTAATTCCTTCTTGTAAGTGGCTGCTTTGTTAATCTCTCTCTGAAGAATTTGGAAAACAGTTTCCAAGAGCTTGTACATTCTGTTTATACAGGCATTGATATAGAAAACAGAAGGCTCAGTGGAGTAAACAGAGCGGTCTGGGCCATGTGATTCCTTCTCTGCAGGTTTAGCAAGAGGTGAAACACAGCAATGATTTTTGGCAATGTTCTTTTTATAAGTTCTTTTTAAATTTTCTTTCCCACATATGAACTGTTCTGGTTTTATGTCTCTGCATTTTCGGAACAGATGGAGTGTAGTAAAATGTGTGTCTACATCATGAGCCAATCTTCCGGATCCTAAAATTACCTGAGTAGTAAGACTGCCAGAACAACCTATCAAGAATACCAGTATCGATCCCTGGGTGTTTGTTGGGTTTTTTTTCCCTCTTTTAGTGGCACTTTGTGCCAAACCCTTTGGTCTCATTCAATGCAATGCAGCTCTTTAGAGTAAACGTGGGCAAGTTCCCAAAGCCGCGGTGCCCCCAGCCACGGCTCGCGCCACCCAGGACAGGCGGGCAGGACTGTGGGTGCAACGCGTTCTCACTTCAAGCTCCAAGATCCTGAACTCCAGGAGTTCGTTTTGATCCTTAACGTCCTGGACATCATGTTTTAAGCGAGCTTCCTCGGCTTCCATTTGTTTTATCTGCAAAATAAAGCAACACGCGTTAGCACCATTTTCAAAGCGTCACTCCAGATCCTCTGCGCTTTGACTGTGCCGGGGAAGTGCCGGGGTCAGCACGAGCGCCGAGGGTCCGAGCACGCCCCGTGGGGTCAGCACGAGTGGGGATGCAAGCACCAGTGACAGGGGAACATGGGGATTTTCCCCACAACCACATCCTCACATGACCTCATGCTGGCACATTTTATGGGGCAATAGGGAATGCCAGAAGAGCACTTTATAAGGATCTTACTATACATGAATTATTTCCAATACAGCTGTGTGATACAGATAAAAATATCTGACCTTCTGCATTCCTTAAGCTACAAATACTATTTGAATAATACAAATAGAAACATAGAACACCTTTTCTACCAGTTCTTGATTTCTTCTATACAATGCTTGCTTCTCCTCAATCCACTTCATGTCCTTGAAAAAGAAATTACCAATATTGTAGGTGAAGCTGGCAATGTTTAGCACAAACACAGTAGCAAGTATTTCATTAAATCACACATCTAGAGAAGAGGGACAGAATAATGCTGCATATGAAATTGTAATTCCACTACTTCCTATGATACAAAAGCTCACGCTTTCTGTTTTATTTTAACAGTCTGTAGTACACAAATGGAATAGAAACACTCCTTCGTTTGCATCAAAAGGGAATTTTCTAGCTATGCAGTTATTATTAGATTTCAATTATACTGAATACAAATTACATATTTCTGAACACTAGGCAAAATAAACCTAATTTTGAAACTAATTTCTTAGTCTGATGGATATATAAAAGCCACAAATCCCAGAACATTATTTATCAGTAAGGTTAACAATAATAAGAGGTTAAGCTGAAATAATGATAAAATGGTTCAGTACTATTGTAAAGTTCTCAAAAAACATTTTATGCTTATGGGGTTTTTTTTGTTCGGTTGTTTGTTTGGCTGGAAAATAAGACACAAGCTAGGAACAGCCTGGGAACATTTCTTGTATTTCCAGCTAGGGGTTAGATATTTGCAGCCTGCAATATTTCATTATCAAGGCTATCCCAAGGCTAGAGGTGTGCCTCTTTCTTTATCACCTTTGGAGTCAGTGTGGTTTTAAACTCTGTGCTCTTCCAATTTAAGGTGCATTTTCCTTTTAACGTTTTCCCGTGTTATGCTACTTTATGCACATCTCTGGACTGCGTAACCTCAGTGCCAGGACTGACTAGTTCACCCGACCCAGGAGGAGGAGGGTGTTGTGTGGTGGAATAGAGGTGCTTGGTCTGAGTCACCACCCCGCTGCCAGGATGCTCCCCGATTTCGGTAGTGTGGACGTGGGCGCTGGATCCTCCTGCCTCTGAGGGGCCGCACAACTCCCTGCGAGCACTCAGAGCCACTGGGCTGTGCAGGCAGGGAAGCAGAAGCTTCCAACACCACAACGCCTTTTCTGTTTGGGGAACATTCCGGGGGAGAATTTTCTAGCACTACCTAGGCAAGGTTGTATGCGAATGGCAAATATTTGGACCTCAGCACTGCAGTCCAAATGGCATGCAACAGCCAGGAGTATAATGCGGTCTGTGCCAGGGGCTGAGTGTCACCCACCGAAAGCTGCAGTAGCTCCCAAACCTCCCAAGACCTTGAGTGGAGCTGGCTTTGCAGAGTGAAATCTCAAGGCCAGACCAAGGTGACAGACTACCGAGCTAGCCTTGAATGAACTAGGCATGCAAAAGCAGACACCTTGCAGTGAATTCAGAAATTAAAATTACCATGTGTAAGCCTTAACACATCAATGCAAAAATAAGATCTTAATAATGCCTGATGGGATGAAAAAGGTAGAGCTCAACATGTTTGGTTGAATGTGATGTGCTTCATGTTAATCATTTAGACTAAATTTCCTAGAATGCAGTTTTGTAGATTATTGAATTGTATTTCAAATTAAGCCTTTTTGAAAGAATGACTGGGATGATTTGACAAGCTATTGCATGAACAAGCTGCATGGTGAACTGCACAAACAGCTGAACTGGACACTTCAAATAGTCCTAATATATAAACTTTCTCTGAATTTAAAGAAAGTGTTCACAGCAAAGTTTTTCACATGATTAAAGCCACTTTGATTTTGCTGAACATACATACTACGCACTTGCTCCTTCCCTTGAAATGTTTAAGCCCTTTCTAATTTAACACCTGCTTTTCTCCTTTTAAGAAAGCAAAATTTTCTGGAGCTGGAAAGCTGGAAAGCAAGGGAAAGCTGCTGGCAAGGAAAGATTACTTTTACTTTCATTAAATAAACATTTCATTAGAAAATAATTATTCTTCCTTTATTTTAGCTTCCCAATTTTCTCTTAGGTATCAAAAATTCTGATAGTCTGTGAGATTTTAAAGCAGACCAACTTCTTCCCAAACACAATTTTTCCTTTTCCTTACCATAATACTCTCTCAGTATTTATATACTCTTTAAATCGATAAGGGAACTGACCTGTTGTTCACTGATTTAATTTTCAGGAGGTGCATAATAAAACAGCAGAAAGCAATTTTAAGCTAGGGACAGTGAAGGGATAGAGGACGACTAATGGGCACAGTTGTCAGCTGGCCACCAGACAGACCCTGTACTTTGGGACTTGAGGCAGTGACAATGAGCATGGGAATTCACTTCCATGGCTGTGCAGAGAAATTCTCAGTGTCTGATGAATATATCGCACCCGTTTTGACTTCACAGCTGTACACGTACCGAATTCAGGCACGCCTTTACCAGCTGACTTTTGCTTTCCCTTACTGTAACATCTGCACATCACAGATCCGTTCACGCAGGCGTCGTCTGCCGTTCTCTCCATTAGCTGGAGCAAGTGAGGCATTAAGGCTGAGATCAGCAAAGATATATGGGGCTGAAATGGGTCTTGATTTCAGGAGTTAGCGTGTAAGCACCGATGGGGACTCGGGGCTCTGGGGACTGATGTCTGAGATACTAACGAGCACATGTAAATGTGGAGAGCGGGGTTTTCAAAAGCCCTTGCATGCCTGACTCTCCTTGAAACCAACCAGACCACATGTATTAAGTGCTTTCTTTCCGATTAATTGACATGTTTATGGAAAGAGTTCTCGGCAGGTTACATTAATGTCTCCTAAATCGGGGTGCAGTGGTGGCGGGGGTTGTGCGGCGCACAGTGACGGGGACGGTAGTTACTTCCCTGGTACGTCTGCTCTGTATGAAACGAAACAGCTGCTGAAAAGTCGCATCAGGATGATCCCATACAGACATAAACACTCAAGAGCATCTGCAGTATTACATGGTAAGGTGAGCAGGCACGTTTCTAGAGCCCCCGCCCGCCTCCAGCACGAAGGCTGGAGAAAGGGCCAGTGTTTGGCCGCACGCATTACCTGCCCCTGCTCAGCAAGGGCCTTCTCCAGGTCTTCTATCTGAGCCTGAGATCGGTGTATTTCGGCTTGAAGCTGCTCACGTGTCTGTAGGATGCCAGGGAAAAAAGAAAAAATAATAAATCAAACTTTCTCTAAAAGACAAAAGCTAACACAGGTACAGAAAATACTTAAAACATCAGATACTTTTAATAATTATTGAAGTTCTTTGGCAGAATAAATTTGCAGCTAAGCACACAACATTAGTTATCGATCAGAAAAAGAAGTCTGTAAGATAGGATAATAGTGTTGTGACTTAAGCCAAAATTAACATAAGCAGTATCCCATTGGGTAGATAGTAGGACAGCAAAATATAAATGGCTCCTTACAGCTGGTTATGACAGTCTGCAGTAGAGCAGCCTTCCCTACTCTCGAACAAGGTGTTTAAAAAAGCCAGTGTAATGCAAAGATTCATTTCTCCATGAAGACAAATGAAAATTATTATGCCACAATTCTGGGCACACCTGTTTCCCTTAAATTTTTGATGAGTTAAAAAGCTCAGAACAGACCTACATACGTAACGTTACATGCTGGCAACCTGTGTTCCTCCTTATGCGTTTAGTATCCTATCTTACGGTCTTAACTGTATTGTGTGTAATTTTTTACTATACTTGTAGCTTCGTGCTTATTTAAATATGTACCACGTTCCTACATGTGTTTTCTGGAGAATAAATGTAATGATTATTAGCCATTTTATTTGTTAAATAACGTTTCACAGATTTTCTTTCCTCAAACCATTTATCTGCTACTTATCTTGTTATTTACAATGAAAATGATCTTATTTGTTTGCATTACCTGCATTGTTCTCTCTTTTGTCTCACTAGGGAAAAAGTAAAATCAAGTCACTTTTCAAGCTGGGCATGTCTTGTTTCATTACGATTTTCTCTACACGTGCAATCCCTACCACTTCAAAGCAGAGCGCATGCTTCTGGGAATGTTAGTTTTAATGCAGTTTGAGCATTCAGAGAGAGTGAGATGATCTATGGCTGCCGAACAGGGAGGTCGCTGGGAGACAAGAGGTGCTGCTAAATCTGGGTGGCTGAGAGGTACTCACCAGTGGAGACAGTGGTGAAATTAGCAGTTAGTTATTTGAATTATTCAGTGGAAGAAAACCAGACTAGTTAAATAGCTAGGAAAGCCAAGATATTATTGAAATGATGAACTTTAGCTAGAGGAATTTGGCCGTTTATGTCTGACTGGGGCCGGGGAGCTGCCCACGGCTGGGAGAGTCACAGCTCGGTGGTACGTGGTGCTGTGCCACCGCTGCTGGAGGTGTTCCCACCGGAGGCACCGGGCTGGATGATATGGGTATCTCCTGGCATTGTCATCCTTACCTTGAACTGGATAACATGTTCACACAATAGATACAGAGCCAAATTAAGCCAAATTTTGCAGTTACACTTCCATTAAATTTCAAACTGTTAGCTCAGAACAGAATGTATCCCTTTATTTACTGTATTCACCCTTGCATTCCATGCATGATAAGTCCTGCCAACACCTTGTAATATACAACATACTCATAATAAACGTAACATTTTATGCCAGACGTTTGAAGCCACATGGGCTTTGTGAGGCAGATAGGCAGGCAGAATAGCATAGGACACTTTGCAATTTAATTAAGAAAAGGAATCTCAGCTATAAGCCTTCTAAACATTTTATGAGGAATCATGTAATCTCACAGAATCCAGAAGGAATTAAATACCAAGCATTATATATTTAAGGCTATCTGTCCTAGATTTTTATAGAAAAAGAGCTTAATTTTAAGGATTTCCCATAAAAATTCTCTCTGAATTTCTCTTAAACTGATCAGAGGTGAAAAAAAGACGAAACTGTAGTAATGGTGGTTCCTCCAGCAAACCAGCACTTCACTGAGAAGTGAGAGAGACCCTGGAGCCCACCTCGGCAGCCAGCCCAGCTGGGTCCCCTGCCCCGCACCCCCAGCTGCCAGTGTGCTGGAAGGGCTGGCTGACCCCAGTTTAGCTCGAAAACAACCTGAGCAAGTAAACTGAAACCCCCAAACAATTACAATCCTTTACTGTCACGTAATATAAGCCATTTAGACCTTAACTTCTCGTTCTGCATCCAATGTTCCTCCGACCTGTTCTTGCAATAGGGCGTATGCTCGTTGCAGAGCCTGGTACTCCATCGTCAGCTGCCGAAACCGCAGTTCTGTCTCTTCCTTGGCCATGCCCTGGAATTAAAAACAAAGATGCATTGCACCAGCTGCTTTTGTTTCTGCAATGAAAATAAAAACAATTATAAGAGGGCTTTCTCTAAGAAGTGCCAAAATGATGACTTTCAAAATTCAATTTGGGAAGCGCAGTACTAAAGATCTTGTTCACGTGCTCTCGGACTCTTTCTCTTTTGTCCCTTAAACATCTCTTCCGTACACTTGCTTCAACAAAATGCAATATAGAAAAAGAAGAGAATTCCAAGAGAATTCTTGGAAAGATAAAAAGTTGCCATCCATATAACACACTGACAACTGAATCGCCCTCTATTACCGTACCAGGCAAAGTCATCACATTTAAAGGTGAAAATACCGCTTTCTTGAAACAATAAAAGGTTTCCAATCTGGAGAATAAGCCAAGCCTGACAGTCCTACTCAATTATTAAAATACTAATCTAGAGTTAATACTTGTAAAATGGTGACATCAACATGAAAAGGGCCCTTTGTCTTCTTCACTCGCCTTACAATATCCAGCATTGAATGCTTTCATGTCAGGTTGACCAGAATATTTCATTCGACATGAAATGAAATTATACTGCTGGCTGCATGCATAAACTTTGTACTGTCTGAACAGGGAAAAAAAAAATGTCAATACAGGGATGAAAAATAAATTGGCTCATACATATAAAAATACCTTGAGATTTCCTGCAGCGCAGCACACACCTGGTAACCAGTTGTGTGCCATTTATGATGGAGATAGGAATTCTTTAGGTTCCTTTTTAACAGATCTAATTTCACCCTATGAAACAGGCGGCAGATGAAAAATCGCATATCATAAAAAGGCTTCAAGTCATTATTAGGAATTTTTTGTTTATATACAAGATTCTTGTTAAACCCAGAAACGTGTAACGGTACAGTGATCTGACACACACTCGGGAATGCGTCTGCAGAGAAGCCCTGCAAAATACCAGGAATAATCACTTCTATTTGTATTACCAGCTACATTTGTGTACTCTGCATTCAGAGCCTCCAGAAAAGTCATGACCTCGATATACTGGTGAGGAGACAGCCTTTCCTCTGGAGACTGGTGCTTTACGTGACTGCTTACTTCTCCTTCCAGAAACACAAACCTTATCACTTAAGGCTGCGCTCTGTGCTGAGGTCAAAATGACAAACAGAAGGACCTGAACTAAACTACATGCACACAAACCTGCAGTAAATCTCCACGTGAACAGGTCTTCTTAGGACGGTCCAACTTCTCAGTCTCTTTAGACCTACAACCTATAAACCCATTATAAATCTAATATTCTTAGGTTATACTTCCAGCTTGGCTAAAAGTTGTGAAATTACTGAAGACTTGAGAACCAGAGATATTAACCAACATGCACAGTATTAAATTTAACGTCAGTTTTTGACTTTCTGGTCAGAGGTGACAGATGAATGATGTAACAGACCAGGAATTTCATTAAAAGTTAGTAGTGAGGTTTCAAAACAAAATAACACATATTTTTTAATACCTCTTCCAAATCATCTTCAGGAGTGCAAGGGGTTTGATCTGTCCGGTCTGTTTGGTATGAGATAGAGGAACCATCAGACTCCATGGAAGCTTCTTCATCATAGCCGAAAAACGTCTCCACAACTGGCTTCTGACAGAGACAAGGCGTCAGCGAGCGCAGCCGTGCTGCACGACAGCCGTGCCGCACGACAGCCGTGCCGCCGGCTGTGACAGCCCAACTGTGTTTGGGGGACAGCGGTGACTTTGGACACAGGCTAAACCGCGCCTTTGTAGGATTTGGACATACCGACTTTCGGAGGAACCTCAATTCCAGATTATTGGTAATTCTCACTCTATTGCTTTTTGAAGAACTGGTCCAGTTCTTTACATGTATATGCATATAAAGTTTTTTCACCCCACGATAGTGCTCTAACAATAGCTAAAACTATTCAAATCGCTGAATTGCCTATTTGTTATTAGGTATCACAGTGTGCAACCTCAAAGCCCTTGCCTTTTTTTAATGTATTTTCCTCCCTATTTCTCTAGCTAAGCAGAGCACCCTCTTTACTTCTTTGTGTGCTCATCTCAGCATAAGGTGGGAGTTGAGCATTGAAATGTCTTTGCTAATCTATTGTCATCAGTATGATGCCCCTCTTGTCACTACCACAACCTTCACATGAAAAGTTAGATTTGCAAGAAATGTTCTACTTGAAAATTTGAAGTTAATCACCACAGCAATGTTTTTACAGTTTGAAGAAATAAATTTTTCCACTCAAAGCTGCTTTCTTTTTAAAAGAATGAGGGTAGTGGTGGTAAAGAAAGATTTACTGTTAAATGTTCAAAAGCCAAAGATGACATTTCAAACACAGTTCGAAAGTATTTTAATTGTTGATTTACAAAAACATTTCTAGATTTTGGCTTTTTGTTTTAATTTGCAGTGGATAACTTTTGAAGAAGACAAAATATAACTCCCTTTCAAACTCTGGTTGCCATTTGCAGGATGACAGGACTTAAGGAGTTATCTCACGTTGACCACAATTTGTTAGTCATAGATTCATTAGGTCCAGCGCCACCTTAATTCTTCATATGTAGAAAACAGCTTGCTCTCAGGTCCCCGACATTATAACTTACAATGTTGCGACAGTGTTAATATTTGTATTAATATCCTGCCAAATATTCATTAACTGCTATCTTCTTTTTCCCTGAGCTCTAAGCATTGCTTCTTGGAACCAGCAATTTTTGCATGTTACTAAACTCCGTAATGAATTATTTACAACCTACATAAGTTTTCAGGCAGTGCCATTAAAAGATCATTTTGCTGTCTCATCTTAAGACAATCACATACCACTGAAGTCTCACGGGATTGCTCGGGGTAAATGCAGAGCATGCAAATGCTCGTAATGTGCAATGCAAACGGTTCCCCTACCCCTGCCGGATCTTGTCTGAATATCCCAATACAGTCTATGAACGTCCTTGAACTATGTGACCCAAATTTAAGGTTAGGACATGTTTGCAGACCCTTGAGAAGAAAGTTCCCCCACGTGGCTCCGAGGCGCTCAGAGCACCCCGGGAAGCCAGTACGCCCATCAGCATGTCATGATACAAGTGATTTTTTTTTTTTTTACCTTAGGAATTCTTGTCATTTTTTTCCTCTGCTTCCTATACCTTAACAGCTTATCACGTTCCTGAAAGAGTCAGATACATACATTAGCTGTTTTCAGAGAGCTATTATTTAAATTAACTATGTCAGTACTAGTAGTCATTGGGCAATCAAGAAATAGTAATGTCAATGCTGGCCACTGCCTCAAAATGAAATAACCATGTTTTCATCAGTCAAATATTACTTTCACTCCAATACCTTCCAAGTTTGCGATATACAAGTAGCAACTGCTCTTCATGTTCATGAAAATCAAAATAGCAAAAGCAAGCTGATCATAACCCATGCAACACACTGACATTTCAGAGCTGCTCTGTGAGCAAGCAAGTGCGTTCAAGCCCATGCTATGGCTCTTCTCTGGCAGATGGGCTCTTCGTCCAGGGGTGAGAAGCAAAGACCGACTCCTGCCCTTGGCTACACAAAACTCGGAGACTGAACTCAGCACTTTCAGTCTCTGCTGACTTCTCTAAGGATCTGCAGGTTCCCAGTGCCTCTGAAAAAAGGTTTGAGCATTTATTGCTGCCAGCAGATTTTTCTGTTCAGTGGAAATTATGACACTCTTCATAGACTCATGTCAGTTTTTTATAGTACTGAAAAAAATTTCTTTATTCTGGATTGAAAATAAAGGCAAAGTCTAGGATTGCAGAGAGTAAAGTTCTAAAGGGAAAACCCCTATAATCTTTCATTTTAATTATTTGGTAACAGGATGTGATGACATTGTGGGACATTGACAATGTGGCACTGCCATCAGCCCAATGGCAAATCCTAACATCAGCAACAGAGACAGAAGAAAATCGAATACTTGTTTTGCTTGACAACACAAGCTTTGCTGCACACTTGGCAATGGAGACTAAAACAGTACACATTTTATCAATACGTATTAGTGGCTTAATTTCACAAAATCTTTACCAACAACAGCAAAGGGATGAGTCAGGCAAGGGCAGTGACAGAGAACATGCCAGAGTGGGTGAGATAAAGCTAGTGGCAATCAGACTCTAAAAAAAAATGCAATTCCAACGTGGCAGAGCTGTCCTGGAGATGGAGGACACTCACTATCGGCCATCAGGACAGGGTGACCACGCTGACCTTTGCCTCTGAAGTCATCCTAGTGGTGACAAAAAGCTTTCCCCTCTCACCAGAGCTTTCCTCTCCACTATCACTAAATTTTTGTCTGGTGAACAACTGCTGATATGGCCTTTGACATCTACACTGAGAAAGACACTGAGTTAGCTTGCTGCCTGAATGAAGATGTAAGTGATAATAAATATTATTATACACTGCATGCTTTTCATGAACAGCAATTTAAAGCATACAAAGATGAGGATGAAGTTAACAACATTCTTACCATGACACTCTTCACATAGCCAGCAGTTTCCAGGGTCTAATGAAAAAGAAGGAAATAATGTCAGTAAGTGTACAGACTTAAAAAAAAAAAAGTTATTTTCTTGAGGAGTATTACGATTTCAGTATTTTCTCTTCCCAAAGACTGAGAGCATGTTAACAAAGAAGCAAACACCCAAACACAACATTGCTGAACACCGCCCTTGTACACAGCAATCTTTAGCTCTGACACTGTCTCCAGCTAAAGGAGCTCTGACATTTTCTCTCGCAGGTGCAGGATTCAACATATCTACTGGAAGTGCTGAAATGGTTCTGTCATGCAAGTACACTGTAGATCGAAAGAATTTTTCCAAATACTATGCCACAGATAACTTACATTCATCTCGATTACTACTAATCATAGAAATGCCTACCGTGTTCCACTGATGCAAACTATGCCCGTTAGCTTACAGCCCCCAAGCACCCCTTGCTTAGGCTTCCTGCTCTTCTGCCTTCTGGCCTTAGTCAACCGCGCACGAGAGCGTCAGTATTATATCTTACCTTGGAGAGCTCATCAATGATATTTTGCTGTTCAATAACTTGGAGTCGCAGGAAATCAACTTCTCTTTCTTCCTGGCTGTGGTCAAGGTCATTTAAAGAGCTCGGTCTCCTTATTGTTCCAGCTCTTTGCCTCTAAACAAAACCCACACAGCAGAAGAGAAAATGATCAGGTGGCTTTGCCAAAGGACAGTACACAACCCTTCCCTTTCCAGCTAGTGATGCATCTAATCTAATGGCTGTTCTGGCAGCTATCCTGCTTCGCTTTTGCTGAGCTTTACACCTAGGCTGCAAACATGCCAGGTGTTCCTGGTCCTCAAGCTGCCACGTGAAGCTCACCATCACCGGAGAGGACAGCAGGCACAGGGAGGGGCCGTCCCACCAAAGATGGGGGCTAGCAGCAGCCCAGCTCCACCTGCTCTTCAGTTCTGCCAAGAGCTGTGTGGCTTTCTCCTGCAGCAGAAGGAATTCAGAGAGCCGGGACCAGCTTCACTTCTCCTTGGGTTGCTCTCATTCATTTTGACCGGCAGCAGTCCCGGACCCGCAGGGCCCAGGGCGTCACCTCGGCCCTGCTACATTCATGCAGCGCCACAGCTGCTTGCCACCAGCTCTTGCCCTCTAACAATATCCAGTTGAAGAAAAAAGGGAAGAGTCACGATTTCCCAGGGATTATGAGGCGACTCTGGTACAAAAGCCCACGGTGAAGTGGGGTGATCTGTGCCCATGTCAAAGCTGAGCCGCCAGTGACTGAACAGTCTTCTGATCAAAACATGCAAAGCTCACGCACTCTCTTTTCTTCAGAACTATTTGTTTTTAAAGCTAAAATAAAACATTTTACGTGAAACAAAACATGCTCAAGCTCCAAACCACTCGGTGGTGCACCACAGCACACCTCAGGGAGCAGCAGAAAGGGGGAAGTTTCCAATTAAACTTGCAGGTTTGGGACGATGCCTGACTTCACCAGCCCTGTGAGCACTAAATTAAACGTTCTCTCCGGAGCATACAGAGACTTACCATTGCTATATTTTCTTGCGTTACAAATTTTAATTTATTTTCCATTCGACGTAAGGCATGTGACAATTCTTCATTCTTCCTACTAAGGCGTTTGTTTTTGTCCAAAATGGGCTTATACTGACTTTCAGCTTCTCTAAGACGTTTTAACTGAAAGATTAAGAGAGAATAAACACACCTGTAGCTGTTATTTTTCATCAAATATATTAATAATTTTCTTTAACTATCACACTATCAGTATTTTCTCCTAAATGCAAAGCAGAATTGACCAAAAACGCTTGGTATTTTCCATTGGGAAGCAGATCGTTCCTCCTTCATGAGGTATTCAATCTGTGCAACAAATGTACCATGTGGGGAATGTATTTATTTTTAAAAATTAATAAAAATAATTCCAGGTAATGCCATCTTAAAAATTCATTGTTACATATGCAAAGACAAGTGTGATGTGGCATACCACCAAATACAGAGCACACAGAGGAGCCAGCTACTCCTGCAATGATTTCCAAATAGCACAGGAGAACATATCTCGGTATTTTGGGGGTAAGACGCGGCCACAGCAGCACGTTCACAAGCAGTCGTCGCCGCGCTACGCCGCTGCACTCACCAGCTCGTTTCTCTCCTCGGACAGCAGTGCGTTCCGGTCCTCCAGCTTCCTGATGATGGCACTCAGCTCGGCGATTTTCAGTTGGAAACGCCGGGCGTCCTTTTCATCCAACTGCTGTTCCTAAAACAAAGATCAACTGCAAATAACTGTTCATAAGTGTACATGCAATATCAATATTTTTCAAAGCTCAACCTTTTTCTTATCCCAAATCCAAACATTTCAAAACGTTCTACAGCAGAGTGTAACCTATGTAACCTAACTGACCACTGAAAGCTGCAGGATGAGACCAGCGGAAAGTTAGGAGTGAAAACGTAACAAAGTATGCAAATGCAGAAGTATGTATATGCAAATACAAAGTCACAAATGGCAAACTCGGAAAAAAAAAAAAAAATTAAGGCAATGTTTTCAATGTATGCCGCTGTTGAACTGAGTGCTTCAGACACGAGGACTTTGTTATAAGAAAATGATATTAAAAGTACTCAAGTACAAATGGGGAAAATCCATGGAGTTATGCCATTGCGTAAGCTCTTCTTCCATAAAGCTATGGGCCTTACTGGGCTCTAAAGGGTCACTCATAAAGCCAAAGGGGTAGCACTTGATCTGACTGAGAATGCTTAGATCAAATTATAAATGAATAGAAATATAGGTAGACGTGTTCTCATTCAGAATCAGAGAGGAGCTACACCTATTTACAAATGTGACAGACTTTTTCCCCTTCTCTAGGACTTGTTCTGATATCTGGCGGAAGTTGAGTACAAATCGAAACAAGCGAATTCGTGTCCGTCACTGCTAATGGCACTTCTGGGAGGTCTAGGGTTCCTCATTCAAGAGGTGCAGGAGAGGCTTGGGACAAAGAATAAGACAGATTGGTTTGCTCATGTACAAGTATTTACACTTCTGCTGAGAAAATTAAGGCTGTTGCAAAAGAAATCTTGATGAGAAACAGCAATGAAGAAAATTTGCATACATCAGATACATGGGGTCAGTTGACTGAGGGGTTTTCAATATTAGCAAATTAAGGCAAAAGCAGAAAGGTGCTATAGTTACACTAAAAAAGCCATTGTGAAAGGGTGACTAAAATTTAATGTTTTGGATTTTGCATTGTAGAAAAGAAAGAGGAGAGAACAGGTTAGCTTAACAGGTGCTTAATTCACTTTCTGGTCCACTGAAAGCAAGAGCACTTAGCAGCACACAAACCTAGGCTAGCAGCGGTGTTCCAGGAGGACCGCAGGATTTCCCGTGCTTTTATGCACCGATTACCTTCCCCCATTTCCCTTTGTAAACTGGCCTTGTACCTCTGCTCACAAAATACATTGTTCGCAGTTCCGAGAGCTAGCACACATACATTACTTGGTTAGAAACGCATTTGCATCATTTGTTGGCAAAATTGTGTCAAACTGTCAAATTAAGGCAGGTGGCAGAAGTATGGTACAGTGAGGAAAAGGAAGAGAAAAAGAACAGAAAAATTTCCCCTGCTAACAAAACCAAACCAAACCAACCAGAAAACAAAACGACAAAAAAGCAAGAGCTCTCCCATAACAAGGTTTGATGTTAAACCTTAAAGGTTCGGCTAGCAAACAAGAGCAAGAAATCGGGGCCTCGGGGCCTCCCCTGCAGGGCTATGGGAAAGCTGTTGCTCGAGGGTGCACTCATCAAGATCCTGTGCCATTTTGTCACTCTGTCTGCTCGTCCGTTTAGGTGAAACCACGTGAAAGTGCTTACGGGGCTTCCCGAATGATCTGAAGCGTCTCCTGCACCACTTGCATAAGGAAGTTCCCGCTTGGGGCTGCTCAGATGCCGATCAGACTCTTTGATCTGGGAAAGTTGTTCATCTAAAGCCTCCTTTTGGAGCTGCAGTCTCTGAGCATGCCCGGCTTGAACCCCTAACTCTCTCTCCAGCACGTAGACTGCTCTGTCCTTAAACTTAATCTCCTCCATCTACAAGGAGAACAGAACACAATCACACAGGCAGGCAGCGGCTTGACAACAACAGAGCATCTTATGACCCCAAACGTGGCCAGAGAACAGTGGCACAGAGCCGACAGCCCTCAACATGGAAAATAGAACAGCAACGAATATTTGACAGTGAACATATGAACGGTATCACTTAATCAGCTCAGGAATATAACTCTTCTTCTGGGGGCCACCCAGAACAAAATCTCTTTCGGCAGGAATTTTTTCATTAAAATTATTGGGAAATACCCCATATTCTTAGTACCATTTCTGAGTATTTTTAAAAAAAGTAAAAACTAATATTCGTATCACAATTTGGATTAGTTCACTCAAACACTTTAATGATTTTGCAGCATTTTTCTTGGACATCACCTTTTGAAAATTTGGATTCATAATTTTAAAAAAAATATCTTAAAATCTGAATATCCTTTTAGTTTTCAAAATATAGAAGGAATGTGAATTTTTAAAATTCTTTTTCCAGAAGTCTCCCATGTGAGCAATTTGTTTAGCTATCTCCTTTCTATGAAAGGTGTTGCTTATATGTAATAAACATCATGCAAAACCATTAAGCACGTAAATGACAAATGTCTAGCTATCTCCAGTCCTCTTCTTTCCTGTTTGCCAGCTCTGCTCCCGCTGAGTTCAGAGAGCCACTCTCATCGCCATTGGATTGGGAACGTTGAATTTGCAGGTGCTCCAAGCATATTTCCCAAGGGACAGCGCACCTGGATTTTTCCCGAACGCTAAGGTAGAATCCAGGCCTCCCTCTCTACGGAGCCACGCTCAGCCGAGCGGAGTGCCGCGCTCGGAGGTGTGCCGGGGCCGCAGGGCGGCTGGCACTGCAGGCTGGGCGCACGTGCCACGGCTTACGCCAGGATCAGGCCCTAAGAGCCCGTTCAGAGTTCAGACGGGGATGGCCTGTGCCCTGCCTAAGCACGAAGAGTTACTGAGCACGGCCCAAAATCACCTTCTGCGCCTGCGATGAGGCACAACACAGCCACCGAATCGCAGGCTCTTCCCAGCCGGACTGCACACACATACATTATTCATGAATATAAGGGATTAATTACACTCGCACGCCACAGGGCTGCCAAATGTGCTTACAGATGATGATTCTGTGGAAAGAAAGAAATCATATACATCCCCTAAAATGTCTGTTGATCTGGTTTCAGTCACCGTAAATGCGTAAGATTTTTGGCATAAGTTTTTGAGACTTTACACATTTAATTTAAATGATCAGTTTTTAAAATGCGGCCTGCTTGAAATAACAACGCTTTGCCTTGGGAGAACTGCGTTTGACACTTTTATCTTTGCTAGCTTTGTTCTGTAAACCTGGAAAAAACCGACATGGTGTATTAACAGATCACTCGAAGTACTTTGTTTCCAGTAACTGCAGAAATGGCCCGCCCAGGGAGAAAGCAAGTGACAGCAGCTTACACACACCCAGCAACGGTTTGGGGAAATTACTTCCATTAGGAGTGTTCGGCGGAGGGCTTGGCCACAGCTTACAGCTGTGAAACAAATCCCGTGGGAGAGGACAGAGCGGGTCGGGGCACGACGGCCCTCCGTC